AGTTCTTTATCCACCGAGTGGTCCATCTGTCAAATCCGTGTCTCTCCAGTTTAGAGACAAGGATGTCATGTGGGACAGTGTCAAACACCTTGCACAAGTCCAGGAAAACGACATCCGTTGCTTTACCCACATCAGCCAGCGCTGTAGCTTTGTCATAGAAGGCCACTAAATTAGTCAGGCACGACTTGCCCCTAGGGAAGCCATGTTGGCTGTCACCAACCACTTGGTTATTTTTTATGTGCCTTAGTACAGCTACCAGGAGAATCTGTTCCATGGTTTTACCTGGCACAGAGGTAAGGCTGACTGGTCTGTAGTTTCCCGGGTTGTCCTTAGTCCCTTTTTTAAAGATGGGGGTTATGTTGGCCCTTTTCCAATCTGTAGGAACCTCACCAGACTGCCAGGACCTCTCAAATATGATGGCTAGTAGCCTAGCAACTTCAGCCGCCAGTTCCTTCAGGACCCGTGGATGTATCTCATCAGGTCCCATGGACTTGTGCACCTTCAGGTTCTTTAGGTGTTCCCGGAATGGAATACACGCTCACGCTTAGAAGTTGGTAATCATATGGAAGCAGATTTAGGGAAAACCAGGAACGTCCCAGTTCTCACTGGCTCCCATTTTAATTCCATCCAAACAGCCAAGAGGGTTTGGATCACCCCAAGGCTGATCACTGCCACCTCGTCCGCTCGCACCTCCCTCCCTCGCCGCCCACTCCTCCTCCAACCCCTTGTTCCCAAGCCACGCGCCGAGACCACCGCTTGCGCTCCGGGTCACGTGGCTCCTCAACCTTTATCCCCTCCCAGCAACCCACTACCACTCAGGATGGAAGGAAAACCTTTGTGGAACAGCTGCTTTAGGGACACTGTGACCGTACCTATTTTTGAACCGCGTTTCTGAGCGGAGTTCCTGAAGCGCAGGTCCCCGGAGCACCCGGTGCTCTCTCCAAATCCTTCATCCTTTGCCACGCTTGTTCCGCCGTCCACTTCCAACACCGGCTGGTCACCAGCCCTGTCGCTCCACTCCAGTCATAACACCAGAACATCTTACGTTCCGCGGAGTGCCATTTCCCTCTTCAACATTTCAAAAAGAAACTTTGAGGAGGCAAATTCCAGAAAGCCTTTTCTAAACAGACACACAGACCATTTCTCCACCTCCCGGTTCTCCCGGCCCACAGGACAGAAACCAAGCAACAAATCCTTTCCTTCTGGAGGCACCAGAACAAATGCCATCCTTTGGAATGTTTTCACCTCAGTGTATTTTTTCTTTTTCAAAGCAAGCAACAATAACAATTACCGAGCTGCAGAAAAGTGACCCGGTTTTGGACGGCAGCCTTTCCCACAGCGTTTCACCGAGGATTCTTTTATTTACCTGGGACTGGGAATTGCTCCAGTTCCCCTCCCTCTCTAGCACAATTTCACGTGTCTCCTTCCGAGCTGGTCCTCAGCCTTCCTTCTCTATGAAGGCGGTATGTTGGCCCTGGAGATAACTCACAAGTTTTTCCTCTATCTCCATGCCTTGGGCGATTTCCTCGTCGGAAAGAGACAACGGAGTCTGCGAGTCTTTGGTTACGATAAGAACAGAGGTTCTCCGCGACTCCAGGGTGTTTGCTACCACGATCTGGTGTCGGTATTTCTCCAGAGCCTTCCGTGATTTATCGACTAAGATCAAGGGATCCGTCTCCAGTTTAAAGGAAATCACAAAGGCCTCCGGGGCCCATTCTTTGACGAGAGGACTCAGCATCTTTGGCACCAGTTCCATGGTGATCTGCATCGGGGCAAAAAGAGGGAAGAAAAGTTCCAGTAAAAACCTTACAATGCTTTTAATAAGAGATGAGGGGGCTGGTGCTAGGGAAATTCCAGCTTCACTTCGTATTGTATTTACGCTGGGAAGTCTTCCAGGGCAGTATTTGGTCAGATCTCACCAAACAAGATTAAAATGTCACTGGTGTGCACTGGAAAATGAAATTAAGAGTACTAGTCTGGGTATCAACAATAAGCAGGGTGCTGTGACCGATAAAGTGGGCTCTAATTCCATAAACGTGCTGCTACTTAAGAGCTCAAACCCACTCTGGGAATATAAACACAAGCAGAGGAAGATAAAAAAAAAAAGAGAATTACAATGGCAGAAGTCTGAGTTTTCAGCTCTCCAAAAATCCAGGCGGCTTATCAAGGCCCATGAGGCATAAATATGCCGAAGGATGGGGAAAAAAGCAGGAGTCCCTGTTCTCCAGCTTCTTAACCTCTGTGTCTGGCTCTGGGAATTGGGTCCGGTCTCATTTTTCCTACTCTAAAGAATGAAGCCTAATGACTCTTAAAAGCTAATTAAGCTACTCAAATTTGTATCTCTTGAATCTGGAGCTCTGGATCCATCCGCTCCCACAGCGGAAAGGGACCTGGGCACCACAGACACGTGCCACACCTCTGGGCTGTGGCCAGCGTTGAGCAGGAAGGTGGCAACACAAGAACTCCTGCAGCAACGATTCTCCAGCGGAGACCCACCAGCGGCTCGTGTCCGTGCTGTGAGCCGGGACAGCTTTAAAGGAAAAGCTGGAAAACCAGGAGGCACCTCGCAGGCAGGCTGCGACACTGCACAAGCAACGCTGCTGTCTCAGCTGCGCTCTCCTCTCTGCGGAGGAGCTGTGGCACCATTCACTCTGGTGCTCACGTCTTGCCAGTGACCTTCTTCGCTCCACTCTGAAAAGACACGGAGCTCAAACGAGAGCAGGATGCATCCCGCCCTGCCCGCTTCTCCGTGCCCCTCGGGGCAAGGGAAGAGCAAAACACTGCAACTCCACTGTTTCCACGGGA